TCTACATAAAGGAAAGAGCAAGAATAAAAGGTGAGGGGACGCCTGGGTGGCTCAGTTGGTTAAGCTTATGCCTTCCTCTCAGTTCATGATCTTAGGGTCCTGGGATCGAGTTCCGGTCAGGCTCTCTGCTCAGCAGGGTGCCTGCTTCTCCCTCTGCTTGCCGTTCCCCTGCTTGTGCTCTCTCTCTCTGACAAATAAATAAATAAAATCTTAAAAAAAAAAAAAAAGAATAAAAGGTGAGGGGTGGCCTTTCCTTCCCAATTGTATTTCTTTTTAATCTGATTGAGCCACTTTGGTTCATGTGTATACTTTGGAGCAGCAACAGTCACCAGGGGAAAGCCGTGCTCTGATTGGCTCATGGTCTATCTACCCTTGAAGTTGAGATCACCTTCTTTGAAACACATGAGGAAAGAGTGTAGAAACTTGAATAAAATTGGGGTTTGGCTGTAAAGGAAGAATGGAGAAATAGAAACTAGGCAGACAGCTGACAATGAGTAAGTACTCATACAAGTATCAAGGTAAGAGCTAAAGAAGCTGGTTGGATTCAGCAACATGGAGATAATTATTGGTGCCCTTGGGGAAAGACGCTCAGTGGTGTGATGGCTGTGGCCGACTGTAGAGGGCTGGGGATTGAATGGGAAGTAAAACATGGATAAACTGACTAAAGACAGCTCCTTTTAAAAAAAGAAAGAGGGGGGCTCCAGGCTGGCTTAGTCGGTAGAGATCAACTCCTGATCTCCGGGTTATAAGTTTGAGCCCCACACTGCGTGTAGAGAGTACTTAAAAATAAAATCTTTTAAAAAAGAGAGAGAGATGGGGCACCTGGGTGGCTCAGTCGTTGAGCGTCTGCCTTCGGCTCAGGTCATGATCCCGGGGTCCTGGGATCGAGCCCCGTGTGAGGCTCCTTGCTCAACGAGAAGCCTGCTTCTCCTCCCTCTCCCATTCCCCCTGCTTGTGTTCCCTCTCTCACTGTGTCTCTCTGTCAAATAAATAAATAAAATCTTTAAAAAAAAAAAAAGAGAGAGAGAGAAAGAGGGAAGGTGAGGAGTTGAGTAACGACACTTCTAATAAGGAGAGATTTGAACATCTAAAAACATTAATGGGGGAGATCTAGTTGTTTTTTTTTTTTTAAGATTTTATTTATTTATTTGACAGAGATACAGTGAGAGAGGGAACACAAGCAGAGGGAGTGGGAGAGGGAGAAGCAGGCTTCCCGCGAAGCAGGGAGCCCGATGCGGGGCTTGATCCCAGGACCCTGGGATCATGACCTGAGCTGAAGACAGACGCTTAACGACTGAGCCAACCAGGCGCCCCTGGGGGAGAGCTAGTTTAAAGGGAAATGTTGAGGGGTACCTGGGCGGCTCAGTCAGTTGCTCGTCTGATTTTAAGATTTTATTTATTTGAGAGAGAAAGAGCACACACACAAGTTGGGGGGGGTGGCAGAGGGAGAGAGAGAAGCCGACTTCCCTCTGAGCAGGGAGCCCAACACAGGGCTCCATCCCAGGACCTTGAGATCATGACCTGAGCCAAAGGCGCCCTGAACGTCTGACTTTCGATTCCGGCTCAGGTCGTGATATGGGTTGTGAGATCGAACCCCATGTTGGGTTCCATGCTGGGTGTGGGTCTGCTTAAGATTCACTTTCTCTCCCTCTCCCTCTGCCCCTCCCCCCCCCACATGAACCCGTACTCTCTCTAAAAAGAAAGAATGAAAGAAAAAATAATTGTAATAATTGAGCCTTAAACATGAAGTCAGAGAATTTTATTTTTTTTTAAGATTTTATTTATTTATTTGACAGAGAGAGACACAGCAAGAGAGGAAACACAAGCAGCGGGAGTGGGAGAGGGAGAAGCAGGCTTCCCGCTGAGCAGGGAGCCCGATGCGGGGCTTGATCCCAGGACCCTGGGATCACGACCTGAGCCTAAGGCAGACGCTTAACGACTGAGCCAACCAGGCGCCCCAAAGTCAGAGAATTTTATAATGCAGATTATTAATGATACAGGGAGATTCTCCTCAGAGAACTTTGTTCAGAATGATTGAGCTTGGATGAGAGTACATGTGGTAAACTGGAGATTCCTTGTTTTAGGCGGTTGGTGTGCATGGCAGCCTTCCCCTCACCTCCTTTTACCCCATCCCCGATCACCACCTTGTCCCTGACCCCTATTCCAGGTCGTGGGTGGGTTATGAATGAAGTCTCAGGGATGAGATGAACTTAGAGAAGAGATGAGGGTGTCTGTTTTATATATTACTTGGTAATAAAATTTTCCAAAAAACCCTGAAAGCTTATTAGATTTTTAGATGAGTTAAAATGTCATGATTAACTAATTCTGGTGTATAGTATACCCTCAACAAAGTGGCCATTGTTATACTTGTCGTTGTTACTTAAGCCCCAGCAAATTAACACCTCTAATTTTTCAGTTTTTCAGTTTTTCGGTTCCCCAGAATTAGTCTCCTCCCTCTCCTCTATCTTTCCATAGTGTCTTGTCTGTTTCCCTAGTATAGGACCTAGTTCATTCTTCTGTATCCATATTTCCTTTTCTTTCTCTCTCCCTTGTCTGAATAGAACCATCTTTTATTTAACTCTGTATCTCCCAGAACCTAACACATAATATAACATGTAACTATGTGTCTGGCACATTATAAGTGCTCAAAACAATGGTTTCTTGGGGCACCTGGGTGGCTCAGTGGGTTGAGCATCCGACCCTTGGTTTCAGCTCAGGTCATGCTCTCGGGGTCTTGAGACTGAGCCCCATGTTGGGCTTCCCGCTCAACGGGGGAAGTCTGCTTGAGATTCTTTGTCTCCCTCTCCCTCTGCCCCTCCCCCTGCTCTCTCTTCCTCTAAAATAAATAAATCTTAAAAACAAAACAATGATTTCTCCAGTGTAGATTGTTTCTGATGACCCATCTGTCATCCCTGCTGCCCTGTGAGAGCAGAGAATTTAAAAAATAGGAATAAATGATTTAATGAACAGACTAATACATAATTCCCAACTCTCCTGGACTTCATGTATGTTTTCTGATTATTCTGGGTCCAGGTTCATGAAGTTGCTTCCCCTAACTTGGGCTCTGAACACCATAAACCCACATTGCACCCTCCAAAAGGAACACAAAGCCCCCCACTCCTGGGTGCTAAATGTTTATCTTCCTCCCTTGAGTACCTCAAAAACTGTAGTTTTTTTTCTGTCTTTTAAACTTCAATATTTGATGTTCTGTGATTGTCCTTGAATGCTGCTGTTGTGTCTTTTTATATTTCCGGTAACAGCCCTGTTAAGCAAAATCAGCACATTACATTTTTTACTGACTTACCTATAAATTGAGGTGCATAGTGGATTTATAGCCCACGAAAGGGTTTTAGTTGAATCAGGGGTTAATGGCTTGCCTTTGCTAGCTGCAGTCACCTGTTCTTGCCCCACTAATGACACACCTGCAGGCAGAAGTACTCACCCACCTGCACAGCACCTTCTCTAGCCAGTGCTTCGAGAACTTGAGCAGATCCTTGTTCTTTGAGCTTCTATTTTCTAGACTAGAAGTGACCCCTCTCTTCTCATCAGATCTCACTCCCCTTGACTACACTATAGCTTCAGGGATGTTAACAGAATAAAACTGTACCCTACTTGCTTTGATTGGGATCTGTCTGTTCTTCCTCCAAACCCTTAGCCATTTATTCTGAGATGATTGCATTGAATTACTTTCTACAGGTAGGTAGTTTTATCCATGTTCCCCCTCCCGAGGGTTTTTTTCTGAGGATAATTAATATTCAAAGTCTTTTGTCCAAAATTCTCTTCTTTGAGTAGCACTGCCAATATTTGTCTGCTATTCTTTTTCCTTATTTTTTAAACACAGAGCTGTCTTAACTAGTTTTTGCAAGTGCAGTGAAAGAATACATTGATTGGTCTGGAGGATTTGCTTGTTTGGAAGCTACTTTTAGTGACCAAGCATAGCGTGACTCTGATCTTTTAGGTGATTTGAAGTTCATCTCTCAAAGGGCTTTGTTAATTCCCGGGTGTCAGAGGGCCTCAAACCTGTAGCGCCTGTACTAACAACAATACTGCTCAGATGTTAGTGGAACAGAAACTTCACCAATCTTGAGAAAAGACATGTGTCAGTCTTGATGATCAAATTTTGTTCCCTGTCAATTCAGATCAGTCCTTTGAATTTTATCTTTGATAGGACTGACAGTATGACTTTCGCTAACTATAGCCTTTACCTTTGATAATAAACATCATCTTTATCCTCTTCCGAAATACCAACCAAACCATGTGACTGCCCCTAAAAGGCATCTCTGCCATCTCTCCTTTGGTAGTTTTCTTCTTGCCTGCTTGAAACCTTTCTCTACTTCACTGCCTACCAGTTTGACCTATTCTTTAGGGCCTATCTGATGTACTGTCACCTCCAGGAAACTTTTCCTTGATTTTGGCCTTATTCACGCTACTGTGTTTAGTTGTGCTCTATACATTCTACCTAACAAAGTTAGGGATTTCATGTTTATGCCTATTCGTTTATGAAGTCCTCGAGAGCAAGGACCATGCCTCTTACTTCTCCAATACCATGCACAGCCTACTCTCAGCACAAGTGTTTAATTGATACTCATTGAATTGAACTGAATCAGATCAGATGTCTTGGAGAGTTATGGTCATCTCTTTCTCATCTCAGTCAAGATGTTGACCCAAGCAACCAGAACAGGAGTTCCAAATAAGTTAGGTATCACACATTCTCAAGAAAAGGTTCTTTTTCCTTTGTTGAAGTCAGAAGAATCATTTTCCACTTGATAACTGCAGTGGTAACTTTATTTTTTATTTTATTTTTTTTTTAAGATTTTGTTTATTTGAAAGAAGAGAGCATGAGCAGGGGGGAGGGGGAGAAGCAAACTCCCTACCAAGCAGGGAGCCAGATGTGGGGCTTGATTCCAGGACCCGGGATCATGACCTGAGCCAAAGGCAGTCACTTAACTGACTGAGCCACCCAGGTGCCATTAATGATGGTTTTTGCTTGTCTTCAATAGGCTGCACGCTAAATGGCCAAGAGGTAAGATTCACTGTCCACTATGAAAATGGGTTCACTATCTCCAAGGAAAATGGAGGTTCCAGCAGCATATTGTACCGCTACCCCTTTGAAAGGCTGAAAATGTCTGCTGATGATGGCATCAGAAATCTGTATCTGGATTTTGGTGGTCCTGAGGGAGAACTGGTAAGAATGTTTCTGGGAACCAGGTTTACTCTAATAGGTATTTTCTTTCTTTCTCATTGCTTCTTACCTTTTGTATAGAAAATTATGGACTGATAGTCCATTTGGAGTCAGGAAATTGTTCTTCGGTTTTCAAGATGTATTGGGTTTGGGTTTGGGATGTATGTGTGTATATGTTTTTCTTTCCCCATATTAGGAAATCATTCCTTTTTAAAAAGTTTTGTTTGAATGGTAGAAAGAAAAAATGGATAGCCCTTTTAAGAAATAGGCTTTTATCAATATGAGCTATAAAATACAAAAGCTGGTAAACTTTAATAAATAAATTCTATCTATTACTATTATAGTTGGTTGAGATGAGTTAAAAGTGATAGAATGAGTTGGTAACTACAGAAATTCTGCTGATCAGAAAAAAAAGATACAGAGCTATCTTCACACAGCCATCTTTTTTTTTTTTAATCTCCTTGTCTTTTAAAGGAAAGATCAGCAGGAATTCATGATTTCCCCTAGGAAACCACAGAGGTGTGTCAGGTGTACTTCAGAAATCATAAATTATGATAGATAAAGGAGTAAAATAATGCCTTTTCTGTCTTACCAGTTTTGAGCCAGTAGTTCAAGTATTATACATGAAATATTATGTCTATTGACACAATCACCATAGGTGGAAATTTGCAAAACAGAATCTTGACATTTTATTACTGAAAGAGATCTGAGAGATATTAACCTCCAAATAAGAAATCATGTCTAGAAATCTTATTTTAAATGATGAAACTTTAGGAGACTTTGGTTGGGCCATGGACCAGGGCTTTTCAAAAGCCTGAAGCAGCCATTTGCAAGGATGTGGATGGAACTAGAGGGTATTATGCTAAGCGAATTAAGTCAATCAGAGAAAGACAACTACCGTATGATCTCACTCATATGTGGAATTTAAGAAACAAAACAGAGGATCATGGGGGAAGGGAGGGAAAAATAAGACAAAGGCAGGTGGGAGACAAACCATAAGACAGTCTTAATCATGGGAAACAGGGTTGCTGGAGGGAAAATGGGTAGGGGGATGGGGTAACAGGGTGATGGACATTGGGGAGGGCATGTGACGTGATGAGCACTGGGTATTATATGAGACTGATGAATCACTGAACTCTACCTCTGAAACTAATAATATACTATATGTTAATTAATTGAATTTAAATTTAAAAAAAAAGAAATGAGAAACACATCCCTCAGAAGGAAGTATACTCTGAAGCATCAAATCACTGATTTCCCACCCAAGGGTCTTTGATTAGATCAGGGAGTGTTTTAAGGGCCTCAAGAATCCAATAAGCACTTTAAAATCATTTGGATTTAACCATTGTGTCTATATCTCTGGTATATTTGACCTTGCTGGGAAATAAAGATATGTACATATTTAAAAAAAAAAGCCTGAAGCATTAGAGTTAAATGCTTCTATTAAATTAACTTCTGTTAAATTAACCAGTTATTAATAGCGGTTGTCATTTAGCAAGCTATGTATTAGATTATTCCTGGCTATATAGTTTTAATCCCTGCTTTATACTTAATATATACAAAGTTTAATGATGAAATTCGTGCTCTGTCACTTATATTTTGAATAAAGTTATATTTTTCTTTAAAAGGCATAGTTAACTATGCCCTATTCCTGGTTTCTGCATCAGTGCCAATGACTGACGAATCACTTGACTCACGCAGCCTGATGGCAGGTCTCCTTGTTTACCTGGTGTCAGCTGTCCAGATAGACGCCTGAGCTTAGGAAGCTATGACTATCCCTCCTAACTAGCCTCAGGAGTTGTCATTCCCACCACAAACCTATGAGAGATACCAAAAATCATACCCATCCATAGTCACATTCAGCTGAGTTCACTGTGATCCCCCGCTGGGAATATAATCATAATTAACGGTCTCCATATAGGGTATTCCTCTTTCTTTTCCATCTTCTACTGTTTACTTCTTCCTACCAGGCACGGTGGAATCCAGCACCCCACCACTTTTCTCCTAACTGTGACATGGAGGCTCACACTAGTGTGTCATTACTACATGGAATGACCTTACTTCAGAGAATACTTTGCATTTGTAGCTTTGAGTTCCTGAGAGATGTTTCCATAAATCCGGCACCTTTTTAATCTACATTCTTTCTAAAAAGTAGAACATCACATCCAAATTTGTTTATTTTATGTCTGTTTATGAAAGCTTCTGTGTATGGTAGTGATAATTCTTATGCTTTCCCCACAGACCATGGACCTGCACTCTTGTCCGAAGCCGATCGTATTTGTGTTGCACACGTTCTTGTCAGCCAAAGTCACTCGCATGGGACTGCTCGTATGAGCAGCACAAAATCAGAAAAGAGTCGTGAATGTCACAAGAAGTATTTCCACCTCAAAAAAAAAAAAAAAAAAAAAGCACAAAAAGAAAGCTCTTTGCTCTCCCCTCCAGCACAGTGCCTTGACAAGGACCTGCAGATCACTGCTGACCAGTAACCATGTTTAAAGAAGAGCCTGCCTTTCACAAGCTACCTTGGCCAGAAATTCTAGGACTCTAATAAGCTCCAAACAAAGCTGTTGATTTATTGCCTCGTTTCCTAATGTGGTTTCTAAGTCACTAGGTTTATTTCCCCTATGAAGAAGGATGGCTCGTTGTGGGTTTTTTTTTTTTTTTTTTTTTACATAATCAAATATCCAAGAGTTGTTTTCGTTTTCTTCTTCCTACAGGATTTGTTCCAAGCTTAGCCTTGACATCTTGCTTAGTTCAGCCATCTCTTGCCACGTGCTAGTTTACAGACACCTGTGCTTCTTGGCCATTCTAGATAGGTCGTATGTGTTTCTGGAGCTTACTGTCATAATCCTTCCACCCTAGGAAGTCCTTGAATTGCACACCAAAGCGTTCTCCCATCTGTCCTGGCTCTCCTGCATCCCACCCTGGCCATTACTTTCCTACCGCATCACGAGCTTTGCCACTCATAAGTGCTAACTTTAGGACTTAGAACTTATGAAATTTGATTTGCCTTGCCTTCCACTCCCTTTCTAGTGGCGACCAAGTTGGAAACCACTGATTTGAAAGAAGAGGTTTGCTTGTTTTAGATTTTTCTGATTTATCTTTGGTAGGAGCCAGGGGATAAGATTTCTTTTAAAAGAAAATCCTCATTTTAGCCTAAGCCATTTTTTATTGCTTACCAAATGTGCCTTTGGTTAGGGTTAGTGGAGCTTTATTAGTCACTATTTGAATAACTGGATATCACTGCCATTCCAGGGAGAGCATCCATCTTAGTTTTGAGGAATAGTCTTTGAGATGGGTTTCCTTAGGAGTATCTTTTCTAGTGGGCAGATCTCATTGAGGAAGCTAAGTCTTGGAGAGCCTTCTTGTTTAAAGAGTAGGCTCTGTAAAGCCAGCTCTTCAGCACAAACATCCTGTGGAGTTGCCTTGGGCTTTGTGAGCCCATGCTGGATCCTGGCCCTTGTCCTCTCCCTTTGTGGCAGCAGAGTGGCATGGATAGGCAGCTGCTAATTCAAGACTCACTGTTGGCTTAGTAACGCATTCTACAGTGGGCCGGTGACGAGACCACGAAACAGCTACCTGGATTTTGCTAAGCATTGCCAGATGTCATCATTACGACTTAGTAGCAGTAAGATTGCTGATTTTGTGGTATTAAAGAATCACACTCAGCTTGTTTTTCCTAATTATGAAGGAGGTATATATCTGAAAACATTTAAAATAGGATAATAGCTATATAAAATGTCAAGATTACTGCAGTCCCCGGATCTGAAAGAAAAGGGAATATTGACTTGGATGTTCTCTGAAGAAAAGTCTAGGAATAGTTCTCACTTACTAGATTTATTAGGAGTACTATAAGAGGATGTGAGCACTTTGGAGAGTGGAGGAGGGTAGCACTCCATATAGGGAGGAAAAACCCCACAACCATAAATGCACAACCTGAGCTGTTTGGTGTGAGTGCAGACTGACCTAGGTGGGACATTTGAAAGAGCAGACTCATGAGCAGAGAGTTTGAGTTAGACATTGTAACCCCACTGTCTTTTTTCTGCCCATAAGTCAGTCCTCCTTCCCCTTGTACAGTGAGATTAACCACACACAGGGGCTGGGGAGAGATAACTGGTAACTGTTCTTCCCCCAGCTACAGTTCCAAAAATAAATGATTTGATCCACTTAAAACTGGAAATTGGAATCTAGACTAGGATGTCTTTCAAGAACTTTTTTTATGTTTTAAAGATTCATAAACCTATGTTTGGTTCCATCTGAAGTAAATTTGCAAAGGAAGAAAAAAATATCTTGAAGGTCCAGCTGTGATTTCTGGAAGCAGAATTTCAACATATAAATACCCTCAGATAAGGGAGCTTAGACACTCTTTGCAGTGAGAGCATTATTAACCTGAAAAATTGCACAATGCAGTCACAGATTTTGCAACAAAGCCATGTGGTTGAGGTTTTCTTGGTTAGTGTGAAAGGCTAAGCCACTGAGAATTTTTTCAGGCAGAACTTCTGAGCCCCCGTGCTCATCAGTTCATGAAAAAGATCTCTAAAAAAGGTGTGATGAACATGTGAGCAGGAGAAGGTAAAGCGTGTGAGCCATTTTGGCTCATTTTGTTCAAGCTTGGTTTTTTAAATCTTTTGAGTCTTAATGTGAAATGAAAATGTGTGGGAGATTTCTTTTGACCACTAGCACCCCCAAGAGCAAGAGCCTTAAGCTGCTTGTATAACATCAACAGCTTTCCAATCATGGGTAACCAGCTTGTTCTTCAATTAAGTGTGTTTATGGAATTTTCAAACCACAAATGAAGTGCTTTTTATGAATAAGACAGCCTTGATAAATATGTATTTTGTATTAAGATGCCAAAATATGGCAAATTATTTTAACTAAAAATGGGCATTTGGGGTATTTCACACCTTTTATAGAACAGCTTAACTTGTCATTTCTTTTTCATTTTGAATTAGGAAAATTGCTGAGAATATTGTGGGCTTCCATGTGTAGAATGGAAAAGAAGCTGCAGAGTAGTGTCCACCTCATCCCAATGGACCCACTTCCTGTGCCCTCAGCTCCCCTCCAGACCTGGGGCTTAGACATCTTTCCATATTCCACACAGATGTCTACAAGTAGCCAATTGGCATGTGAAAATTCTTCCTCCTCATTCCCTAAAATTTCTCCCTTTCCTCTCGAAAGAAAGAACCAACAAAAGAAAGAAAGAAAGAAAAGGCTCAGTTATTCTTTTTCTGAAAAAGGTAAGCCCTTTCCTGAATTTATCAAACAAACCTTACCTGGAAATTAATATCTAATATTTTATATGAAGAAATACTTTAATGTATGTTTATACAGTATTTATTAGATACTTATAACTGTAAACTCACCTACCTAGTAGACAGTTACAGATTAAATATTGGGACATGTACAAGCAATCAAAAATATTACTTTAAATGTCATTCACCTCTTTTAAAGCCATGTTTTAGCACTTTTTAGGCTAGGTAAAGTCTGATAGTGCCTGTTTTTGTCAGCTGTACCCTCATAAACTTTGTTATGGAACATTATTGGATGGCAGGAGAGATTGAATTATTTATTTCTTATATTTTTATAAGTGGAAAAATCTAACCAACAAATGATTAAAGTTGTCACTGATTATTTGTTTTCCTAATTTATGTTCCTAAGCAGAATGGTAACAAAGCTTTTTTCAGCTGATGAAATGCACTTAGCTAATAAACCAAAATTTATTCTTAAAAAAAAAAATTAAACTGTGTGGAATCTGGACAAGATTATGTTTCTCCTAGAAAAAGTTTTCACTTTAAATGGTTTTGATGGACAAAAGTGTGACCACTTTTGAGAAAAGGTTACAATGGATTTTTTTTTTTAATTTTGTGAGAACCTCCAGGTCTTCTTGTTTAATTTATGTGCATGTGGATATATTTGTATGTTTTCAAAAACATGGAAGAATCTCCATTTTTAATGCAAATTATATTGTAAGCTGCTATGCAAATTCTATTAAAAGCCCTACCTACTTAAAAGTTAAACATTTTTGAAGCTTTCAGGGAAGACCTGTAGACTTAAGCACTTTCTCTGCTTTTTTGTATCTTATCTTGGACACTTACGCTGAACTTTGTTCTTATTATTTTCACTGGTTATAAGCTATTGATTGTACATAATATTGAAACTATCCAGATATCCAGCATACATTTCCCTGTCATTGCCATCCATCATTGACGCCCCGAATGAATGGCTGGGTAGAAAGCCAAAGGTTATCTTTTTTCAATTGCTAATGAAGAAGTAAAATGCCAGGTCTCTTTGGTCTCAAAGCAGATTGCTCTAGTCTGATCAAGTATCTATGTAAGGAAAAGAGACTTCTTTAAAGTTGGGATTCTGCTAGGGGTGCCTGGGTGGCTCAGTCCTTAAGCGTCTGCTCAGGTCATGATCCCAGGGTCCTGGGTTGGAGCCCCACATCGGGCTCCCTGCTCAGCGGGAGGCCTGCTTCTCCCTCTCCCACTCCCCCTGCTTGTGTTCCCTCTCTCGCTGTGTCTCTGTCAAATAAATAAATAAAATCTTAAAAAAGAAAAGAAAATTTGGGATTCTGCTTAAACTCTAAGTTTAAGTTGAATTTGACCATAATCATATTCACTCTTTTGTATGTATGTCTCTATCAGGTCTATAATGTGCCAGGTGGTATTATATTATATTCTTTCTTAAGTTTGGAAATCTCAGTTAAATTTAAATTGTTATTGTGGCTTTTTTATTCCCCCTCCTGAAGATGAAAGCAGAGGAATCTACCATTTGCTACTGTTCTCTCTCTCTCCCAAGATTGCTTGGTAATCTAGAATTCCTTTACTTTCTACACACTGTCTAAAAACTGACAGCAGCAGTCTCTCCCCTCCCTCCTTTTTTAAAGCTGTCTCCTTCCCTGTGCTGGGTATATAGACAATAAATGTGTGATGACAGACAATTATAAAATAATTATGTTGTGTATCAGGATTATGTGTTTTTGAGCAATATAGCTACTCCTATCACATAATGATAAGTGAAATTTACGCTGGAAATAGACTGCTAGTGGTAGATTTGAAACCATTTCTCTAAAAAAAAAAATAGATCTGGCACATCAATGATACAGATTCATTCTATCAAAGGATAGAATTTCAAGTTAAAATAAGGTACCAAAAATATGTTCATAGAGCACACCTGTACATCTATTGTCATTTTTTTTTACAGTAGCTAAACTACCAACTAAAAGAATGGTTTTTATGTATTAACTCAACAAAATATTTTAATAAGATTTCTTCTTTTGTTTCAAAACTGATAAACTTGAGCTTAATCTCTTGCCATCCCTATTCTTCCCACTTCAGGTGACTGAACCAAAGCAGACTTAAGTTTTGAAAGTGAATCTACATTTGGTGTGATTCATAAAAAATGCCATTTGCAAATGATCCTTGCTCTCTAATGAACATTTGGCTATATTCAACAAAAACCTGCCATCCGAACTGTTAATTCTTGAATTGCTCCAAAATAGATTGGTTGAAGCTAAAAAGCTATAATAGAGAAACGATGCTTTGTTATATTGTAAGATTAGCTACCCTGGTAGATTCCTAGTACCTTCCTTATTTCTGTTGTTACCTTACCTCCATGCTATTTACACAAATGCTTTGTTTTAGTGTCCCTCTTTATGCCAGTCACATATTATACCCTTGGAACCTGAGTGCTCTGTCACCTCTTCCAAAGTGATAGAAGTCTCTTATGAATAGACAATGTTCTTTGGGGGCCTGGAGGAACTCTGAAACTGCAAGGCTAATTAATGACATATTAATTCAAGTATTGTTTCATCTAATAAGCATTTATTAGGTACTCTGAAGGGTCCAAAAGAAAGTTCCTGCCCTCAAGTAGCACATAATCCATTATTTCTCATTTACACCATGCCATCTATCTATCAATCAGTGGTTAAGTAATTAACCACTTCATACTTTTACCAAAGTACCTCTGCAGTTCTGCTCCCCTGACTGACTGGAAAACATTTAAAATGATGCTTGGTCTTTGGTGCATGCCAACATGAAAGAACTCCAAGCACATTTAAGTAGGTCAGTCTTTTTATTATGCTTAATTTTTTTAATGCAAAATTAGACTTTAGTGGGGCGCCTGACTGGCTCAGTTGGTGGGGCATGCGACTCTTAATCTTGGGGTTGTGAGTTTGAGCTCCATGTTCGTTGTAGAGATTACTTAAAAATCTTTTCAAAAAAATTAGACTTTAGTTTGGGAAGAACAGTGTAGAATATCCCTAGGAATAAATTACAACAATAACAAAACTTAAGTTCTGTTGCCCAAAGTGGATCAACAAGAAAGTCTTTTTAAAGAAATGCTTTTTAAACTATAAAATAGCAAAACAATGTATATTTCATCTACCCTTATTTCTAAATTGTGCTGACACATGCATTTCCACACTTACACCCTTTAAACATCTCATTTGCTGAAAGTCCTTATCCATGGTAAAAGGAACATTTATCTGTAATGGTGTGTCAAAATAAAGATATTTTAAACCTAGCAAAATTCCACTTATTCTAGAACACTCTGACACTCAAACTCAATAAAAAGGATACCTAAAGGAAACAAGGGAGGCTAGATGAATTTTTCCATAATTTTCATACAGTGACAGCCCCCTTCCATCCATTTTGCCTTCCATTTATTACTAGGGTCAGTTTTTAAGGCAGCATCCTTCATCATACCCAGAAAGTACCTCAGTCATCTGTGATTGGAACGGCACAGGGCACATAGTAACGTGGGCTCCTTCCCCTTTGTTTTCCAGCGTCCCAAAGTAGTGCACACAAATTAGGTCTTGCCTTCAGTGTGTTCCTCCTTTAAACCTACCCTTTGACAATCAGGTGCTAATGATTCTGTTACTGGAACCAGAACATAAGTATTGTCGTGAAAGTGTCTGTTCCTCCTAGATTGGCAGAAGTGCTTTCCTTCTATCTTAGTCCTGTTTGAGACGGTATCAGTTGTGTTTTTCACCTGTTTTGTGAATTGCTAAAATTTGGGGGAGAGGAAATGGTTTCAACCAAGTTTTGGGTTTTGCACAATCATCAATCTCAGTGATATTCTTCACACCTGTAGCAAGTCTACCCTGATTACAAGAACCGGTTTTAGTTTTGTATTTTTTTTCTCCAGCATAAGACTCCAGTATTATGTTTACAATCTGTTGGATGTGTTCAGCATGGTAAGACCTTGGTGCCCAAAGAATGTTTCCCTTTTGGTACCAGACCCAAGGTCTTCTAGAAGATAATGTGGCAAACCACTACCTATGAAGGCCTATTTTGGCTAATCTGTGGGCAAATTCTGATTATACCCCCTTGTATGTATTTTGTTCCACACAACTTTCATTTTTGTTAAGTATATTAAGTCTTCGAAAGCTAGAATAATACTTCTACAAGAAATTAAAAGAATGTGATATTCTGGTTTTTTCTTCTTTTTAGAACCCTGTATTTAAACAAGACTTCTTTTTAAGTGTTGTTTAAAATTTAGTTTTCAAATCCTCTGGTATCACCAGACTACCAAATCAAAACTTATGGCATAAAACAGGGCAGTATTTGTGTTCTTGAGAATTAAAAAAAGCTTTATGTGTACTCTATAAATATAAATGCATAAACAACACTTCCCCTTGAGTTGCACATCAACATACAGCATTGTACATTACAATGAAAATTTGTAACTTAAGGGTATTATATATAAATACATATATACCTTTGTAACCTTTATACTGTAAATAAAAAAATGCTTTTAGACTTGTATTTTTTCTTTTATTTTTACCTTAAAATGGTTTCAAACCATTTTGAATATTTCAAGAGCAGTACAAAGATCTCCTCTTCACCCAAGTTTACATTTGTTCCATTTTCCCCTCCTGTCTTTCTCTTACATGTTGCTCTATCACCCTTAAGTCCTCAGTGTGTCCCACCAAACACAGCGACGCTCTCCTGCACTGCCACCGTTCAGCCCTACCCCCACCGGGAAGTGAACCCCGGCCCAACACTATCACCCAAGCCACAGACCCCATTCACGTGATGCCAGTCGTCCCAGCAAGTCTCCTTTTCTCTTCTGGCACAGGATCTCATCCAGTACCACATGTGGCGTTCGTCTCTTCTGGTGTCATTTTTAAGCAGATGTAGGGCAACTCCAAACTCTTTTTTTTTATTTATTCGAGAGAGAGAGAATGAGAGAGAGAGAGCACGAGAGGGAAGGGGTCAGAGGGAGAAGCAGACTCCCCGCTGAGCAGGGAGCCCGACGTGGGACTCGATCCCGGGACTCCAGGATCATGACCTGAGCCGAAGGCAGTCGCCCAACCAACTGAGCCACCCAGGCGCCCGCAACTCCAAACTCTTAAAAACCTAGTTTGGGTTCTAGTTCCACCACTGACTTTCACCGACAGGAGCTTAATCACTGGGTCCATCTGAGCTTTATTATACTTTGAGTGACACGGAGGAGGGGAGATGGTTTCTCAGGAATCATATCAGGAATCATCAGTGCTCCATGCATTCAGGTGTCAGTCACTTTGCATGAGATTTCACCCTGGCCCTACCTCTCCAAACTGTTACTCACCTGAACTTAGTTTTTGTTGCTCTTCTTCCACACTCTTCTTGGCCCCCACTTCCTTAACAAAATTGTTAAGAACCCACTCCTTGGCAGGAGCCCTAGAATGCTGGCATTTGTACAGTCTGATTTTACTGGGTTGTATTGGCTAAGCAGAATTGACTCACTGGTCCAAGCGCAGGTTCACGACACACGCCACACTGCCAGCATCAGCTGAATCCAATCTGGGAAAGTGCGGTGCGCGAAGGAAGGCACAAATGGAACCGTGTAGCTGCAATTCAATGACTTTCTACCTGAAGCGTGGGCGCTCCAATGTGTGGGAGCTGAGAATCTGATTTCTACTCTAGTGAGAAAGTTAGAATATGAAGTTCTTGATCTGATTTGGATTTACGAAGCCTAAGCATGCTCCATGTGCTAGCCCACAAATCATATTTAGTGCCTTTATTGCCCCTTTCTCCCCTCCACTGAACCCCCCCCCCCCATGCACTGCCAGCAATGGCAACACGACTGCAGAACTAAGGGCTTCTCAGAGTCTGGTTTCAAGCTATCCTCCGAGGA